GCACCACGTGGAGGTAAGTCTATCGCACACCCCAATTATAAGAACTGAAATCACCAATAATCGGAGCCCTTATACTCAAATTGAGTGGAGGGGTGTGCTCAACTGAGCAATTTGAAAATGCAACCAAAAAGAATGAGATTCAGCGAAGAATTCGCGCAAACCAAAGGCTGAAAAGTCAAGAGTAGTGTAAGATTTCTCGCTTTTATAACTAGATATACATTATTGTCCAATGTGGTCGAAGGACAACTTCTTGAATGAACCGAATGAGGTGCTGTCAAGGCATCAGAGTAGAATGTTGACTTGAAGACTCATGGCGCACTAGGAAAAGTTTCATTGCTGCAACCACGGGAAGGCACGCTTTGTAAAGCAAAAGAGTAGAGTAATTGGCAAAGAGGGAAGTCAAATAATCCCAGGGAATGCTTTAACGGTACTTCGAATTCTAATGATGGTGATCTTTATCCACTTAACGCTCCTAGGACCACATGGTCCTTTTTCAAAATAAGCTCTAATGGTGCTAGACTCGTAGCAGAAGGCGTAATTGGCGTTTGAAACATGTTCATACGTCTATAGCCTTCGCCTGATACCACCATAACTCATCACGTCTGCGACACGAGTTTGCTGCGAGACACGCGTGAGTGCGGTTGGGCACATTTTTCAAAAAAATTGTTCGGACGTTAAAGGGTTATAATAAGCAATAAGAGTTATTCCTATAATTGACTTGTTGATAGTAATTGTAGTGCCCAAGTTTAAAAAAAATCGATTATAACTTTAACTAATTCATTGCTCTCATTTTGGAGACAAAATCACATCTAATTAAAATATCACTAATCTCTTGACTTCCTCCCTATTGGCCCTTTTAGCTATTTGTCTCAAGCATAGGATGCACGTCCATGTTCTTTGTACTTTAAAACATGGGTTTTCTGTGTGATGTCTAGGCGTCTACTAGACCACCTTTGGGACAAGGCAAACAGGGTTTGATGGACTTCCTCCTTTCCTCATACCCATCCAAGTGTCTACTCAAACTAATCAAGTTCACAGATGTGACCCAATGGATGTGGGTTCTTTAGATCTTTATGCATAGCCCCCAAGGATATTACAGTATAGTTGGTAAAAATTTCTCAATATAACATCACCAGTTAGGCCTTTACCACTTTCTCCAGAAAGTCTTGTATTTATGGAAGAGAAGATATGCTCATCCAAGATAAGAATCCCTGTACATTTAGACTGCTTCCCATATGTTATTTTCATGAAGGATTTGTCCAATTTTCAATTTGCATCTCCATTGAATTTTTTTCAACACTCCCTATGAGATTAGTAATTGGGCAGGTCATTTGCATATGCAGGACACTCTTTAGATCTTTGTTTGACATCCATTTTCATAGGAGTCTATCATGTCGTCCATTAGGTCACCTTGGGTTTGAATCATGCGATTGACTACATTCCAGGGCAACTTTAGTTCACACATTTTTGATACAATCTTAGGGATGGCTATGAATCAATGGCCTTACTTAAGTCAACAAATAAAGGTAATGTACCAATGCACCAATCGATAGCTTACTAACTTACTGTTCGTATACCGACGATCGCCTGTTCTATGGACTTTCTAATGCGGATTCCTCCTTTTCTATCTTGAAACCATTCAACTATATGCTAATTTTTTTTCATAATGATTCAAGAAGGAAAGTAATTAGGCATACCCCTTACCCCTGTAATGCCTTATTAATTCAACAACCGTTCAGAGCCAGGGCATAAGGATTCTGCAATGTTAAAAGATTTAAAGAATTTCACAAAGAAAGTCTTCGATGAAGGTCCACTTCACTTAACGAGATCAGAACGTTAGCCATTAACTCCAGAACTTTGCAGACATGTTAATTGTTTCACTATTTCAAGTTCCTCTAGTGTCACTTTAATACATACAGGCAGTTATGTAATATTCGAAGTTACATTTGATTGTTCTAGCCGTTAAGTAAAGAGTTCAGTAAATGGTAAAAATAGCTTCGCTTCGAATAAGACTGCGTTTGAGAGTGTTGGAAGAATAAGTTATTGGCTTTTCTGGGTTCATCAGCTATCAACATTTCCGGTAATTTTTCGACTTTTCTTCTAAGATGGATTCGTTTGCACGAGCTATGTGAGAAGAAAGTGCTTGTAAAATCATTTGAAAACACGTCAGCGTGAATTTCAATGCAGCGATGATAAGGAATAATTGAAAACAAATTGAAAACTTATCACCCTAGCTACCACCTAGGGACTCACCTAGCATGGAGAGGGAACATGGATACTACCTTTTTGAGACTACAACATATGGGATCAAACCAGATTTTGGATATAAATCCTTTTACAATCAGGACAAATAGTGCTGAAATGACCTAGAAAGAACGAAAATCAAGAAGTATTATTTACTTAACTGCCTAATGTCTTTCAATCCGGACCGCTTCAAGTCGAAACTCCCCTATAAAAGTAGTTTATCGCATATTGGGGACCCTAACCTAGCATCTAATCATCTGCGTGAACCTTCTAGATGCGCATTAACTACATAGTTATTTCCAGAAGTGCATGGAAATTTAAACGCTAGAAACCCCCCCATGGGTGATCTGATTTATGACGGGTCTATTTGTATAACTTACCCAGGCCTTAAAGGTAACAAGGTCCATACTATTGACGATGCTAAACATCATGGGCATGACACCGACAAAAAAGAAGCAGAAGAGGAAGGGACCAGCGAGAGCAAAGTACCAGGAGAAGCGATAAGCCCTCTTAACCTCTTGAAATGATGGCCGATTGTAACTCTGCATATCAAAGTTGGCCAAAGAAAATGATCTGCAATAAGCATAAGAGAGAAAGATTTTGATTACTAATTGAAAAAAGGCAGCTTGAATAGATCTCTTACTTAGCGTAATCGAATGCGCACGGATCTAACGGGTTGTCCATTTCGTAGACTCTAGCCCATGAAGAATGTAGTGGACTCAACCAGGTCTTACCATGGATCCTCTTCCACATTTTTTCTATAAAGACAACCAGAGGAGGTAGAACAAATCCCAGAATTATCGCAATGGCATAGAGAATGACATCAGATAAATCTTTGCCCACTAGAGGAAATGACGAATCAATTGGTTAGAAAGGACTTCCGTAGTGCGTACAGAAAGATTGAAATGGGTGAACGAACCTTTAATGATTTCCAGAAGATTAAGCATGTGCCACATGAATGCTATTATTGACGTACTCAGAAGAGTTCCAATAACAATTCCATTCGAAGTCATACCATCCCAAAAAAAGGTGTAAACAAGGGGGCCAAGAGTGGTTGTCAATATTGAGCCTATCGAATTGGAAAAGTCCGAAACTTTGACCTAAAAAGCGAGAATGAAACCCATCACTTAAGCTCCAGGAATAAAAGGTTCAACTATCCATTCACTAACTACCAATTAGGTTTCTGCATCCTAGCTAAATATTGTTACTTAGACAGGTGGTTGGCCTCTTGTTACACTGTTGGAGGTAAAGTTCGTGGGAGTCTTTGCTAGTTTACGAAACTGACTCTCCAAATCGATAAATAAATAAATTTCAGGAAATATATATCGACTAACCAAATAACGAATTCGCCTATGTGAATTTACTAACAAATGAAGAAGTGAATAATCAAAATTTTCAAAATAATGGTTTTCCATAATGAAGCATGAAATTCGTGAGTTAAAATTATTGAAAATTTTACGCAATTATTTGGTCAACAAATTATGAGAAAAAAAGTTATAAAAGTATTCATATTTTTAACTTGCAGCGGGGAAGCTGATGAGTATTCCCATTGGCAGAATACCAGAAAGAACCAAGAGTATAATTGAGTGCTGTACTGACATTAAGCGCTCCTGATATTTTATATACTCGCCATGAATATTGCATGTGTAAGGTGGTTTCACAAACCCTTTCACAGCGCTCCGAATACTTAAAAGAGAAATGCAATCACAATACAATATTTAAGAAATCTAATTAAGTAGTTAAACACAATATTCGCACCTTTGATCCCTCTTACAATCTTTGCAGCATGACACTGGTACGCATTTGCAGTCCTCCTTTGGACGATAAGTCATATCTCGGCTTTTGCCACAGAGCACACAACAGTTGAGATCATAACACACTCTGAAAGGCTGCATGGCAGTAAGTAATGGTAAGAATAGTAAGTAAAGACTTACTCTTATGTGAGTAGCGTAGATATCGTAGGTGAGAATAGAAGTGATTGAGAACAGTTGGAATATAGAGATGTTCGCAATCAGGAAGTCGTACATCACGAACATTAAAAGAAGGCCACTTCGTCCGAAGAGGGCTCTTGCAATTATCCCCGATGGCATTACTGTTCCAATCATTAGAGGTATTCAGTTAAAATATGTCAGAAAATCCTGAACGAAGTGCTTCAAATATAACTTAAAATCTCAGTAAAATAAAGTGAAGTCTACTTCAATCAGTCTTCAACCGGATGGTCCACAAATAAACTTGGCGGATTCCCTGAAAACTTATTTACATTTTTCGTTAATATTATTTGAAGCGTTTTGCTAACAGCTTATAGTTGTGTTCTCGTATTTGAATTACTTGTTTTCAATCGATATGGTTTGGGGATATTGATTAATAATTTGCACTTCCCTCTGCCTCCATAACTCACGGTTGGCGGTGATGACGCTCGACTCTCGCTCTTTCTCTCCTTATTCGTCTATCCTTTCATTCGTTCGTTCTTTTCTATGCTCTCTCCTATTCTCTCACTCCACCTACTTAATTTAATTCCCAATTGCTTGTTTCAATAAATCCGTCTTCACCCTTGACTCATCCCCTTGATCACCAGTGCCATGGTTGCCACACCGTGCTGTTAGCATAACCCCTACTTAATTCAATTGGCAGTCTCTAAACCTTCCGAAGATGAGGAAATGATCCTAATTTATGCGGTTAAGCAATATGGTCAGCTATTGGGATAGGTGCTGGAGGTCCAGTCAGCTCTATACTTTAATAGTTAAATAATTTTGTTTGCTTGCTTGCAACCTGTGCATCGCCTTGAGCATGTACACCAGTAATGATATTTCGCCAACCGGGGTGTGCGATAGACTTACCTCCTCGTAGTGCACCCTGGGCAATGTATACCCATACGGCAAAAAGTTTATTAACCGGCAATTGACTTCTCACTTCAAACTACCATCACCACACTGTATGCCATATTCGACTACTTTCACAGTACTCACCTCACCTTTTTTCTACCTTTTGTCTGTCTCTTTTACACCTTTGAAACACTCTTCTATTCCCTCCCCCCTCTCGTTTTTTTCACTTTGATGTTCCTTCCTCTCTGTGGAGCCCGAAGTCAACTAAAGGGCTAATGATAACTATCAAAATTATAAATAAACTTTGGTAGCAAACAGTTACACCTGCCATTTAATATAAATAAATACTTCGTCAACCTTGAACTCTGACAAATGGCTTCCAATATCTTGGACACAAGCATAAACAGTTAAACAGATTTCAGCCGTCCTTATTATTAGTAAGACTACATATTCGTACGGCAAAATAGTCTATAAACCGGCAGTTGACCTCTGACTTCAAACCACCATGATCCCACTGAATGTCATATTCCACCACACACAGTACCCACCTTACTCTACTCTCTACCTTTGTGTCTGTCTCTTTTACATCCGTGAATCACTCCTCTATTCCCCCTCTCCACTTTTTGTGACTTGAATGTTTCTCCCTTATGTGAACCCCGAAGTGAAATAAAGGCCTAATGATAACCATCATGAAGTCAGCCATTTGTAATCAATTATTTTAGTAGATTGTAAACGCGAGGATTTGAAAATTGTTTTGATTGAAAGTTTGCTTTCTGTCGAATTTTATTGGATTTATGGAATCTGATCATCGAATCCTTACTATACGAGAATTTCATTTCTAGAAATCGATTTTTACGGAGCAAATACTTGATATCAATGTCCAGTTGTTTAGTGATAACGTTTTTTCTTCCCAAGGTTGAGATAGTAGAAAAATCTTTATTGACATTAAGCATACTGCATAACATTGATGCAGCATAGCTGACCCTCAGGATTCAGAAAGCAAAGATTGACCTTATTATTTAGTTAATCCCTTTCACCTGTTATAACAATGTCAACTACATAAGGTTTTTTCCCACAATGCTTCTCTGGATCAGATTGTTGCAAAAAACCAGACCTTTTCTACAATTTTTTCGTGTTTCTATTCAATTGTCAGCAAAAGCAATGAGCCCCTCCTCCACTATAGTCACTTATCAATTGACCAATACAAAAGCAGACTCTCAATTCTAGAGAGACGCGAGAATTATAAACTCATATTGATGAGTCAGAACCGCCCCCACACTTGGTTTGCCAATCATCTGCCGATAGTTCCGCTACCATTGTGCCATAGTATCTGGCTCCCCCTCTTCTGCCCCCACTCCCTCACCCCTTCAATCCCTTTATGTACTAACTCTTAGCCAAACACAATATATACTGAAGAGATAGCTAAATCCGTGAGCTCCCACTGGAAAATTGTAAGTAAGTAGAAGGATAAGGAAACAGAACTAGAATAATAAAAGTGATTCGTCAAAGGTACGCACACATTAGAAAGTTCCTTAGGGCGAATGGAATGACATGATTTAGAATCTCACAGAAATACGCTTTCCTACATTCTTCTCACCATTGATCTGACATACACAAACAGAATAATAATAATGATGATAAACATTAGATCAAATTGCCCGATGTGGACATATGATTACTTAAATAATTTTCCATGTATCGCCTTCTGCACTTGGCATCAGGTGGCCATCGCTTCACACATATTCAGAGAAAAATACGAATAACGCCAATAATTAGAGGTCGATCTTAATCCGACCGTTACAATTAGCTCTCACCAGGATGACCTTCCAAAATATTTCTGCTAAGGGATAATAAACCTCTAAAGTGATTGAAAATTAATTCCAGACTTGTAAGTAATTAATAACAAACGCCACAGAGTTTGTTTATTTTTTGAACATGAAAGTGGTAAAGGCACATTGTTGAAGATTTTCCCATCCTAATCCACCTACAACAACCGTTTAATTGCTTCCATGAGGTTCGAGCACTTGTTAATAAAAAAGCACAAAATAATTCATTCGTAATGACTAGATTTTCAATCGCAAAAAAACAAGTGAAGCAGTCACGGATCCATTTTGATAATATCTCGTTAATAATTTTAATTTTAAAGGTAGGTGCCTGGGCAAATCAATGGATTTCAACTGTGTCACGTCATAATGGTGTTTTTTCAACTCCGTAAAGTGCTAATCTTTATGTTGACTATTAACTAAAGTTAACTAGGGTGATATCCGAACCGAAAGCTGACGTCACATACAAGCCTAAATTGCGAAAAAATGATTTAATTAAGAAACCGAAATATCCATTTTAAAACTAAAGTGAATGCTAAATTATGCCCAACATATTCTCTCTGAACTAAAAGGTCAAATTGAGTACAGATAAAGGATCCTGGCGCCAGTATAATAAGATTCTGTCATTTTATCACTCGGAATGTTGACCTAAATGCGCCATCAAAATTGGCCATCCAAACCACTAGATTTTCAGTGATTGAAATCGATTTTGCAACCTTAAATATTGCTAACCACTTACCAGCAATTTCGTTTGGAGTCATTTCGTTCAGTTCCTTCTGAGACACCAAGGAAATGAACCCAGCACTACAAGCTGTTCCAAACGCATAGGGAATAGCCATCCAGAGAATCGACGAAATCATCACACCAAGGCTCTCTTCTCCAGGCTCAGCGTAAGAGCACGATTGCCACACCGACTGATCCATAAATATGTACGTATTCACTGAAAATCGAAACATATGATAACTCAAGAGCGAGATTTTAAAGTTGTGCCAATTTATTCTTTGGGCGCACTAAAGAATTTCTTAAGTGCTCTAATCAATACAAATGAATTCCGAACTGTCAGTCGATTGAATTGCCCGTTGTACAAATTCTTTGATGCCAAGTTCGCATTATAGATTTTTTCAATAGACCCTACAATTACGAAACAAAATAGGTTATAATAAATGTAATAATTTTTCTTGTTATATTCAGCATTTTTAAATGAAATGTATGTAAATTTAGACTAGTCAATCTTTAAAATTAATAAATAAGAGTAAGTTTGAAAACTGGCCGAGATTTGGATCGTTGCTCGTGAAAAACACTCCGACGAAAAAGACGAGAGTTGAAATCAGAATGAAGACAGCTCCGAAGGCGGAGACAAGGAAAGCTTGTCGTAGCTTGGCGCAGCCCACAAAGATGGCGGCGATGGTTATGTTGACAATCCACACGAGATTGAAAGTAACACCGGAGGAGATGGCTGTGAAGATCTTATTCCCCACTGGGTAAGAAAAAGTTGGGGAAAGGGAAAGTTTAGATTTGCCTTCCATTGGTTTAAAGTCATTAAATGTTCCAAGTATTTCGGAACCATATATAACCTAATATTTAGAAGGGGTTCCAGATAGATTGCGTTGTCTATTTTGTCTCGGAATTAGCAATTCTCGCACACGGTCTCTAATGCACTCATCATCCTTAAGCTTTGGAGTTAGGCAGAGCAAATTCAACTTAAAATTCCTGATAATAAAATGAAAAATTCGTTGTTCGATATGCTTTTTCAGTAATCTGAATTGAACCGTCTACCTGACCAATCAACTTATTAAATAATTAGTTGTATGCGTGCTATTTTAATCTAATCTGCTTTCATTTAGTGCCTCCAGTCGGTGCACAACCAGCGATGTGAGTTACCAACCCCTCTGAACAAGTCTAGACAACACGAGGACACCAAGATACTTTCCATCTATTCTAGTCATGTTTTGTGAACAACCCTCCTAAAGGATTTAGGACACAAAATTTATGGAAGAGAAACTAAGCCATTTTAATCTCCACTCCCCAAAATTGGATATGCCTTCTTGATTAGCTCCTTGAGACTGGTATTCGCGATTTTCAAAGCCCGTATGGTTTTGGACTTGCCAGTTGAACCCACTGACGACTACACCACAAGAACACATGTTAAAATATAAAGTTATTATTATCGTAGGTATAAACACTATGCAAATTTTCTCGGAATAGAAATGTTGGGAATTTATGTATTAAACTTACTGCCGATAACTCTAACGACAAACGAGATATTATTACTGAGAGATAGAACACAGAGGAGAATGTGAGCAGTGCGCCCAAATCGGGCATTGACGACATGGAGAAATGTTCGAGCACCGGGCGCTATCATACGGAAACGAATCAGCATAATTGTGAAGAGTATTACTGGCATCTGTGCTGCTATCGCATACCACACCGGTCCTGTAATTCCCACCTAGAGGAGGAGAGTAAAAGTGGTGGCTTAATAGAAAATCTGAATAGAAGCCAATACTGTCAAAATGTCTTCACGGTATATTCTCAAGTTTGCATTTTTACACGGTGATAAATGTGACTCATGTTAAGGCAGGCATATTACATTTATTTTGACAAAATACCCGTTTCGATTAGCGAAGTGAGTCTGCTATAACGCTATTTCAGTTCTAATGATGGCATTAAACTTTGATGCCGTAGATAAAACAGTTATTCCAGCTAGCAGGATGGCCAACCTCTTTGGTTAAATAGCTAATAAAGTGTTGAAAAGGTATAATTCCAGCCTTAGATTACCCTTTTCCACTTTGCCCAAAATGGGTATTGGATTGCTCTTTCTTAAATTTGTGTGTACGTTCACATCAGTAAACTCAGGGGCCACAAGGTCAATACTCATCAATACACCCCACATTAAAGTTAGTGACCAATAACGTTGAGTAGCGCTGATTAACAAGAGGAAGTATATCTTAATTAAGTATGCTAATTTTCATTATGGCCAAATCATAGCGAAGACAATGAGGAAAGTTCCCTTTTACGGGCAACTACCTTACATGACAATCCTGAGTGAAGAACTATAAACCAGTCAGGAGACCGAGAAAGCATACAAAAACTCCGATATTGAAACATTAGGTAGTGCCACAATGGAACTATTCCCGAGAATAAAAAGGTGAATAATTTGAATATATGATTCATATTTTGCTAGATTTTTGCTTGAATTTCTGATTTTGATTTCTACCCGGATGCCTCCTCCCCCCCCCCCCTCATACTACCCGTCTTTTCAGATGCATCCTCATGTCGAAACAATTTGAACCACCATTGGTAGTGAAAGCACAATATTCAAGCTGTTATAATTATAAAGGTGTTGGTGATAAAACTGATTAGGTAGGTTAGTTTTGAATAATAAATACAATGTATACTTACAACTGTTCCAAATTCAGTGCTCATAGAGAGACTGTCTGCCAAAGTGCACTGCGCCAGGAAACCGCAAACGAAAAAGTCTAGGCGCAATACTTTCCGGGACTGTTGTGTCGGTTCGGATGTCTGCAATAGGTAGAAAGAAACGAGTGTGTGCATGGCTGTTATTACAATAAGGTTTACAAATGAGTCATTAAGTAGACGAAACTCTGTCTAATCAGGTCTCGATCGAGAATCCATTTCAAGTTCGATAAAAAGCATGGAAAATGTGACACGTTTTGTAGGCACTTAAACGCCCAACAGTCCTAACCAAATATCAACTACTTTGATTAGATAAAGAAACATCTTATGATCGGTTGTACGCTCGTAGTCAACGTGCGTGTCGATCGTTAGACATTTTAGTGATGTGAGTGACCAATCACAGTTTCATCAAGGTGGGTAGTAGAAAGTGGGTTTCACATCAGGGGCTATCCATCACACACTAAAGTGAAATCAATTTAATCTTGGAATACAATGTCAATTCAATTATTAGTAAGCTTTGAAATATAGATCATAAGGTAACCCACAGATATTTCTGGTGTCAAGTCGATTTCTCTTTTGGGCTAATGAAAATTAACTACAAAAAAGCTGAGACTTCCCTATTCGAGAATCAAAAGCCGTGCCAGTTCAAGCCAAAGTTGAGCTCTCCATTCCCCTTTAATCGATCTTCTCCAAGCCCTTGAATGTTTGCTTTAGAACATATGTTTCCTTATTTAATTGCATTTGTTTAAACTTACTGACACTTTGACGGAATCAAAGACAGGCAGCATTTCAACTTGAGCATCATAAAGTACTTTCCTTGTAAGTGGGTAAGATGACATATTACCAAATTTAATAAAAATTATCATTCGAAATTCGCTGAAAAAGTGTTCATAACTTACTATTTTCCTCAAAAGTCTTCCATACACAATTTTCACAATGTAGCACAAAAGCATAGTTACAGAATAAGGCAAGAAGAAAAGGAGCCCTTCGATTTTCGTGGCACCTTCGTCCGCATGGGCAACCACCGACGACGACGTTCGATTCATCGAGCACCAACTATGTCTAGTGTGAGCGGTAAAAGTAAAAATTGGTGCTGTTGTTGCGATTGCAAAGTTGGGAGGTTTGGGGATTGGTCAATGTGTGATGGTCGAGTTTGGGCGGAATTTGATTGGGGGAGGGGAAGTTTACGGTTGTTGAAAATTCTGCTATAATTGCTAGCATTTGTTTTATAAACACTTGAGCAAAGTGGAAATAAGACGAAAACATGAAGTAAATGCATATGAGCAATTAGCAAGAAATTATATTTACCATATCAAGTTCTTAATGAGATAAGACTTTCGAAGTTTATAAGCATGACAGCGCAGGAAACTCCCCCCAAATGGGAGATGTGAGGACGATTCTATCAAGAGAGGTGCAATTCAATCATTTTTTTTATCACAGCGTTGGGTCAGGCAGAGATGAAAAAGACAACCCCTCATGAATAATGAAATTTGTTAATTAAACTTGAGTATCCATTCCACTTCATTGGACAACTGTTGAAATGCGAGATTGAAAGTGCAAATGAGTGATCAACAGTACAAATTTCCCCTAATGATCTCGAAAAATAATTACCTGACAGAAGAAGATGCACGTCTCCCCTGAAGGTGCACTAAGCATTAAGCGTACATATTGGAATGGTCGCATTAATCTTTATTCCACTGAATAGATTTAATAATGAAAACTTTCCTTCCACATGTCCAGAGAACTGATTATATTTTAAGTATTTCAACTAAATATGTGCTATGTACAACACGTGAAAAAGTAATTCATTTTACTCTTTAAAAGGTCTATTCTTAAGTAATCTTGTAAATATTTGTAAGTCTCACTTATCAAAATAGAATGAGACTGGAAAGTCATATTGAAAACTATCTAATTTCTGTTCAGCTACCAGTTATCAACTCATCGAAATGTTTGGGATAGAGGAGGATGTTAACTGACTAAAGCCACCAAATATCACAGTACCAGGGTGGAGTGCAGTCAGTTCCAAGTTGACTCGTACCCCTTCACATTGATCATCACGAAGGCCACCCAACAACCTCCAGACCGTCTTCTCATTGGTCAGTTAGCTCCAACCAATCAGAGTAGTGTATTACTCATGTCTGAATTTGCGAAATGCACATAGTCAGGGTTTTGAAGTGTCCCTAAGCCTAGTCCGAAAACCGCCTATTGTTTCAACTTGTTAGTGCGGACCCCGGACGCACTACTCTCAGATTTTTAAAATACTCCTGAAGAAAAATGAAAATCTCAGAGGATGCTGATCATATATTCATCCCTCCTCGACCTCCCTTGATCGATTTTAGTCCAATGAACAACCAGAAGAAAGGACAGAAGATACCAATCAAACTGGATCCAGAGGGAACTCAGGTGGAGAGGAGACGAAAGGTTGATTCAACAACTCCATCTCTATTTGCACACAGTGCTGCTGAATTCGACGAGTGCGGTAAATGCGAGAAAGCTCGACTGGCGGGATTGGATGCTTGGATGGATCACTTGGGATTCTGCCATACATTCCCAACTCGTTGGCCGAGTTCTAGAATTGATGATGGACTGCTAGATAAAAATCATCCCTACACTTCTGTTGTGGATTCACATAAGAAGAGGAAACGAGCCGTAATACCACGCCCACTCAACAGCTTTATGGTAAGCAAATTCTAGGATTTCTTAGCCAATTGTTATAAGAGTTTGCAACCTCTAGATCTAAATTTTATTTCCCACCGACTACATTCGCCAACACTTTAGGAATTCTTTTAATGTTTTGAGTTCCGGCATCATGTTTTGAAGACAACACAAGGTATAATTTGCTTGAAAAATCAATTTTGGTCTCTTATTATAGCCATGAACAAATAAAGAGCATTTTAAATTTATAATAAAATTAAGATAAACTTAATTAATTAAATGGTTTTCCCTCTATGGTGAAGAGCTAGAGTTTTACCCTTACTGCGTGGTTGTTGATCTTCCCAAATGTGCGTTCCGACCACATTCGCTCAGCAAATACGGTAAAGTAACAAGAATTTTGAATCTTTCGTAAAATGCTGAATATAACCCACAATTGCTTAAAATGCTTTAAGTAAACATTTGAAAGGCTGCCTGGTAGCCCACAAGCTGGTTAAGGCTCCCTCTTTCTGTTATCAGCTTCCATAACGTCTCGAATACATTGATTTTCAATAGGACTTTGAAGGAATTCCAGTTGATGGGTGCTCCGATTCTTGTCCTTAGGCACCTTTCAATAAAATCGACTGAATTCGATTCCTGCTAATCCAATTACGCAATGGTGAGGGGGAGGGAGAGGGAAAGAATGAGCGAGTGAAGGTGCCAGACAATATTTCTCCGAAAAGTGAACTAATAAAAATTCGGACTTCTCGGTGATAAGTTAATTCCATTGCGGAAACTTTCGTGAATAGATCTTATTACCTCCAACCAGCGTCCATGATTTTTCAGCATAATTTAAAGCGAAAAGAGCTTTGCCATAGCTATTTAACGGACAGGCAGACAGCTTTAGTGGTAAAAGTATCGTTTCTCTGTAATAGAAATCAATCAATCAGTAAGTTTTCACAATAAAATCAATATCGCTAGCATCTGTAGTATAGTGTCATAGAAAACAATTCTTCTGTTTATGGAGGGCGAGAGATGTCGGTGCAGAATAGAGAGTACTTGGTAATTCTATATGCCTTATCAACTCCACAGGCCCAATGCTACAGGAATGGAAGTGGGAAGAGGCTTTGGAAGAATATTAAATTAGGTGTGAACGGAAAGAAGGAGGTTATCTTATAATAAAGCACGGAACCCAGACATTGGAAAATAGGGGAAATGGATAAGTCGCTCAAAATTCGGAAGCCGAGTTCCTGTGCGTAAGTCGAAATGGATGAGGAAGAAATAGGTAATAATCAATAGCCAAATCACGGTAACAGAAAACGTCTTTAATCATTCTGAAGTCCCGTTCTGCTTCGTCTTACCTATTTTCTTAAAGTCGTTTATGCATGGTTTATTCTTTCATATCTCATAACTGCATGGAACCAGTTCGCGATAAGCGCGTCAACACGACAGATGGCTAGTACACACCAATCATGCCATATCCATTCCAACGCAGTCCGGTTAATTAAATCATAATTAATTTCCTATGCATCTTCTTGCCTTTCAGCTAAGCGAAGTATAAATGGCGAGGTCTAGCTAGATGGTCGGTTGGATAGTGGGCATGTCGTGTAGCGGAGTTGAAGGGGGTTGGTAGAGGTATCAGATGATACAAGGGGGGGAGGAGGAGTATAAAGCCTGTTGGATGGCTCTCGCGCTGACAACACGTTCAGGCCTGCAAGCGCCCCATGAAACTCCATACTCTTGTTCAGTTAGGAACCCTTCTCTCCGCGCCCCACCCCCCCCCCCCCCCCTCCCTTCATCCAAATATATGACTCATTGATGTATGCAACTGAGAATTTGTGTGGATGCGGCGGTGTAGTGTTCAGGCGACCGTTGGAAACATTAATTCACCTATAAATACTTCTCCCTCTAACCATCGCCAACTTAACTTGCACGTGTGGGTAGGTTTGTGTTGTTTTCACTCATCGATTGACGCCTCTCTTCGCCAATAGTTTACTTACCTAGTTGCAGACTGGTTTCAAGTGAAAATTGGTTATGGAATTTCTTTTAAGCAGAAAAAATGAGGAATGAATGAGCATGAACTTCTATCAACAAGTGGAGCGAGAAGGTGAGGGGAAGCGACCCCTTTGCCAAATTGCCAATTTTTTTGCAATCAAGGTATTGCGGCTGGTAAATATTCAAACCAGGATTAACTCACAACCTGGAAGAGATAGGGGCGTTTATAGTACAGCTTGATAATGAATAAAAGATTATCAGAATCCATATTCTATTCATTGATTTGTATGAAGGAATGTAATTTTAGAGATGTAGCTTTAATGTACTCCACCAAGCATCCTTCGATTTTGAATTTTGGTGCTGTTTCGTAATTTTATACGCTGCTTTTCAAAGCTTTCCTTCTAAATTTACGTGATTATTGAGAGGTTAGGCGAGCACCTACTCTCTCATTATAGCTTATCGTAATTTGGCAAATTCGTTAACCCAGTTTTAGCAAAAGAGCATTAATTGTTGGCGTCTCCGAAAATGTTCTGTTAAAATTTAGCAAATTCTACCGCTGCTCTAAGCAGGATTTTTCTAAACAAAAGAACAGAATAATGTTAAGAATGGGCCTAAACTCCCGAAACTGTGAGTTTAATGGAGTTTTTTGTATTCCTTTAGAAAATTAGTTAACTAAGAAAAACCGACGCTTTTTTTTGAATGGAAATGCAGGTAGGAAGATTTTGATCTCACATGAATTTCTCTTCACTTTTTGATTATTTCTCCAAAAATCACACCAGAATTGTCAAATCCGTAAACCCCCCCCCCCCTCGAAGCGAATATTAAGGCTGAATTGTGCGGTCTCCCCTCTCCCCCGCCTATCACTCTGCTTTATCTTATATTTGAACAAAATAAAAATCAATTCCTTTGTTTTAGATATTTGCGCAGTACATCCGACGTTTAACTTTGTTGAGTTTCCCCGATGCCCCAAATGTGCATATCAGTCAGCAGGTCGGTAAACTTTGGCGAAATCTTTCCACTGATTTTCGGGAAATCTACGCCACGGAATCGAGACGTTTGCAGGATCTTCATTCTCTTGAATTCCCTGACTACAAGTATCAACCTCGTCGGCGTCAACGAAGTGAGGAGTACGAGTCGTTACCTTACCAGGCCCCTCCCTGTCCTCCTCGTCCCCTCAACAGCCACCACTATTTTGAGAAATACTCAGATAATTCTAAATCGAAAATTCCACCAAATAATCCCATCTCGCATCTGCCAGCACCCAAGAAGTTCAACCAGCCACGTGTATCGTCAGTTTGTGCCGATTGTTTCTTTAACTCCCCATCAATTAGCACCAACCGTCCAAATACGGATGCTCAAACTTTACTTCAAGGAGTAGATCGACACAGAACTAGCCATCAATATCAAAATGATTCACTCTTTTATCAGGGTCATTTCAGTTATGATAGCACTACTACTAATCATTTGAGTTGGGCAGATGGCAAGGAAATGTTGGAATCGAAGGATCCTCCTAGACTTATTCCAGTACCAGGGATTGCCTCGTCGGATGAAATGCTCTCTCCGTCAAGCGATAATTGGTATCAATATCAAAGAGAGGATACATTTGGTGAACTCCCTCCTCTCCCAGGAATCGAAACGTGGACTTTCAGTGGACCGACCATCTAGATAACCAAATATAGTGTTGGAAAAATTGACCCTGTGCCAATTTACACAAAGAACAATTTTGTCATATTTTGGTATACTCGCGCCCATTTTACCCTATCATCTAGATGTCTTCCACATTCCTTGAAATTTATGATGCATATACTTTGTCTTAAAGCATTTATTCTGTATTACGGCAAAAATAAAGGTTTTGTTATTCGACGGTATGATATTTTTATGCTCTTTGGCGTAACGTTTTTTAAAACAAAGCAAAATCGATTTAATTACTTTTTCACTTATTTGGTTCCTTTAAAAGCGATAAATGAAATGACAAAAACACTGTTATCATTTGGACAAGATATGTGCGAATTCGTGTGTTTTGACTGCTTTGCACGTTGTGTATTAGCGGGAGGGAGTATCTAAGCCTTGTTTCCAACACTAAAAGTGTTAATTTTTTTAAAAACAAATTGCTTAGTGTCGTCTTTATGTATGTCGCGTTCTGATGCACTATAAGAAACTCAACTTCTTGGTTTGAACTTGAGGACGTTACGCAAGTATGCCATGTATCTAAAAAATTTGAAAGCCTATCATTAAAAATTTTGCTTACATTGTTGGCGAAAATATATGCTTATCCTGAGAAATAGGAAATGCAGCTTTTGGGATTTTGGAACCATACCTTTGAGAACCGCTTCTAAGCTGACCCACTAACTACTTTGTTGAAACTTTTCTGTATAGAACGACTCCTCTATTCTGTGCTCCCCCTGGGATGTCTATCACGTCCCCTTCTAAGTTGACTTGGGCTGGAGTGGGAGGTTAACCCCAAAGACATTCAGTCAAATAAAAGCGTTATATGGGAGTAAAAGTTAACAAGATGATGTTGGGTTAACATCGAACTAGGAGTAGATAACGTTTAAATAACTGTCAGGCTGCCAAAACCGATAGCACGTTGTATTGATAAGAGTGACTTGGCAACCTGCGGGAAACGGGCATCCCGATAAACACTGCAGCTATATGGGCATTATTTTGGCGAATTTTAACCACCCCTTTTAAATCGCGATAAGGGGCCAAATTACCGGTCGACCTCAAATTAATTTTAGAATGTTTAAATGTGCAAATGTACCAATATGCTGCTTCCGTATGCATCTTCAAAGACATAGTAATGTTTATTAAATACTTCTAGTAGGGTGGCAAAATTATGTAATCTTCATTTTAATTGAAAGTCGATACGAAGCATTTCCAGAAACAATCATAAAGAATATACCCAAAGAGCGACAATTTTCCATGCTACTATTTCTATGTCTTAGTATTATTATTGCCAAATAGCCCATTTGTTCATGTAAGTGGTAAACTGGAAGAAACACTACTGAAATTATTCGAGCTTTTGTTTAGAAACACCAAAAAACTAAACTGGTAGATTAAAAATATCCAGCTGGATACGATTGCAAATAATTTTCAACTTTGTCAGAGTTCTTGTGTTCCTTTTCTGTGGATTGCACGAGATGAGGAGAAAATGGTTGTCCATAAATCTGCTTTTATAAAATTGACATTTTTAACGAGATATTTAAAAAATCAACAAAAAAATCAAAATGCGAGAATATTTTTTTTTCAAATGGCAGGCTTTATGATATTTATCATTAGCCCTTAATCTTTGACTTCAGCTTCCCCCAAGAGGGGGGGGGGTACATTTATAGCAGTTAATTAATAGCAATTCATTAGCAGTCTTCTTGCTTCCCAGTATCTTTGGCTTTCCGTCCTTGTCTTTAGAGCTGGACACCGAATCAGGTGGGTCTTCTCCATTTCCTCATGTAGGTTACATAGAGGGCATGTGGGTTGAGTGTATACTCCCAATCTGTGAAGGTGTTTTGCCAAGCAATCGTGTCCGGTACGTAGTCTAAACTCAGCAACGGCTTCGATTCTTGGCCAGTCGGCTATGTCGGAGAGTGC